AGGAGGAGGTGGGGAGAGAGAGGGAAGGGGAGTGGTGGGCGAGGAGAAGGTTTCAGGGGTGAGGGATGCAGGAAGGCTGATGTGGCAGAGTGACCACACTGGGCTGAGTCTCTGGGAGGTAAGAAGTAAGGCTTCTTTTGTGACCAGTTTTTCCTGATGTGGAGGTCTACCCCAGGCTAAGCAGCCGCTGCTGGCCTCCTGGGGGACTCCAGAAAGAGAGAGGGAAGGGGAGTGGTGGGCGAGGAGAAGGTTTCAGGGGTGAGGGATGCAGGAAGGCTGATGTGGCAGAGTGACCACACTGGGCTGAGTCTCTGGGAGGTAAGAAGTAAGGCTTCTTTTGTGACCAGTTTTTCCTGATGTGGAGGTCTACCCCAGGCTAAGCAGCCGCTGCTGGCCTCCTGGGGGACTCCAGAAGCTTTGCAGGTACAGGGCAAGTTCTCTATTTACCGGAGCTGAGGCGATGATGGAAGTGGAGTTTGGGGATTGCCTAATGTCCTGGGTGGTTCCCAGGCCAGTGACTAGTACGTGATGCCAGCCAAGTAGAGTCTGGTGCTCCCCACACAGCCTGGGTGTGAGGCAGGGCTTCAGGGAGGGCCTCTAAGTACCACCTGCGCCTCTTTCTGAGTGGCCCTTGTGCCTGTGGACTGGATGTGGGGCGCAGGAACAACAACTGGTCCTCTCTTAGCTGTGTAACACCCACGGGGACCTCAGGGAGACAGCGCACGGTGAGCCTGCTCGGCTGGGCTCTTCTGCTAAGAGGTGGGGCTTGAAGCCCAAGGCTCAGGCTCCCTGAAGAGCACTGTCATCACATTTATGCAGCAGTTCACACAGAGAGGGACCACCAGCTGGAGCCAGCACAGAAGCCCCTGAGGCAGAGCGAAGGCACACTTGGTCTGGGGCCTCCCTCCGCGGGAGTCCCAGCAGCTCAGTGTCCCAGTGGCAGATGCAGGTCATGGATCTGGCTCCACCTTTAGGCCTGCCCAGTGGCTGCCGCAAAGGCTTCAGGCCAGCACACAGCTCCCAGGCTTGCTAATTCCACCCTTCTGCTTCCTGGATCAGAAGGCCTCCACTCAGGGTGACACAAAACCTAGACCTGTCAGCTTCCAGCCACTACCTGCCCTGAGCAGACCCTACAGTGCAGTGAAATTCCAAAACAGATCATCAGGCATATCTGCGCTGGTTCCCGAGGCCTTTTCTGACACATCCCAAAGACCCAGAGGTGCTTTCCCAAAGCCACAGACTGGTTCCCGGTCGGAAGCAGAAGCCTAGGGACAGTTTGGGGAGGTACTCACCTATGCAGCGCAAAGAAACCACCATGCGTGAAGAACAGGTGTCGCTGCAAAGAAACGGGGGCTCTGGTCACCACAGCGGGGGCGAGGCACGGCGCCAAACAGGAAGGAGTGCGGCCCCCAGTGTGGGCACCTGTGCACTTCCGATGACCATAACATGGCCACTAGGTCTACCTGGGGGATGGTGCCCAAGTATGGACACAATCAGCACCAGCTCAAACCGCAGCTGTGTGACCCTGGGGTGTTACCCCTTCTCTCCTCGTCCCCCACTGGTAAAACAAAGAGAATGTCCCCAAACCTTAAACTTTTGATCACGACACCATAAGTGGGGTATTTTGTACCTGACCTTGTATGAAGGGCCGCAGTCAAAGCACAGGCCTGCCGGAAACACCGCCCGTACTTCCTTAGGCTCCTTCATCCACAAGGGCCTTTGAGATGGCTCGGTGAGGAAGGGACTTGCTACAAAGCCTGGCAATCTGAGTTCAATCCCCAGGACCCACATGGTGGAGAAAACCGACTCTTAAAAGTTGTCTTCTGACCTCCGCATGTGCACCGTGGCACAAATCCCCTCCCCTCCCCCATACACATAATAAACAAAAAAATATAAATGAAACAAAGGAATTCTGGATTTAGATTTGAGTCCTGGTATCAAGATGACTCATGTATAAGTATTATTTATTTATTTTTTTAAGATAGGGTCTCCCTGTAGCCCCAGCTGTCCTGGAACTCACTATGTAGACCAGGCTGGCCTTGAACTCACAGAGTTCCTCCTGCCTCTGCCTCCTAAGTGCTGGGACTACAGGAGTGCGCCACCATGCCCGGCAAATTTGTGTATTTTTAAGTTACATTGTGCTACACAAACATATCCAGCTCATTAGTGTCCAAATTTGTTTTCATATTTAATAAATGGTAAAATCGTATGTATACTAAAGAATTGTTTGGGGATAAATTTGTCCAAATTTGTTTTCATATTTAATAAATGGTAAAATCGTATGTATACTAAAGAATTGTTTGGGGATAAACTTCTTTGACTTATTATCAGTGAATGTTTGATTTGTTGGTTTTTTGTTAGTGGTGGTGGTGGTTTTTTGAGAAAGGGTCTCACTATGTAGTCCTGGATGGTCCAGAATTCACTATATAGACCAGGCTGGACTTGAACTCATAGAAATCTACTTGCCTTTACCTCTCAAGTGCTAGGATTAAAGGTGTGTGTCACCGTGCCTGGCTTGAACATTTAATATGCAGACCTATTGTATATACCTAGAGACCCAGGGTCACATACAGTTTTCTCAGGTGAAAAGGAGTCACAAGTTTAAGAAGCCCCGTGCTGCCAACAACCTTCCTGCCAGCCAACTGTGGGCCCCAAAAGGGAGGGAGGCCTGCAGCCTGCACACCCCCCAACCCCCAGCTTCCTTCCACACTTGCTTACTCTCCTTGGCTCCAGGTTCCTTGTAGAAGACAAAGGACCACCCAGCTCTCACAAAGCACCCTGGGACCCACGTAAGCTGCAGTCTGGACGGAACACCTGGCTGGGCACTGCCCTCCAGCCGGGCCAGCCCTGCCACATTCCCAGAGACAGCTAGCCTACGTGGTAACATTTTGGTCGGTGGCCACCAGGAAGGTTGGCCTGCTCCCCCTCCCCCTCCGAGGAGAGGTGTTGCGATCAGTTCAGCAGACCTAAACCAACACCTTGGAGCTGACCCCAGCCGCAATGGCTACGGCACCTGGAGAAGAGTGATGGGGCCCTAGGGGAAGATGTCTTCTGTGCCAAGAGGACACTGTGGGTCCAACCCCAAAGAGATCAATGGCTCTGTAAACTCATGTGCAAAATTATAGTCACCCGAGTCCCTCCCCAACTTCCCAACTGGCTCAGCCATCACTATGTGACCTGTGGCTTGAGTTCATGTCCACCCACTGGACATACAGTGTCCTGCCCAGGGGCACTTGAAGCACATCAAATACTTACTGAACTAGACACTGGCCTGAGGCCCAGAACACTGCTCCTCCATATCTTCCCATACTGTGGATCACAGTGTGGGACCAAGGGGCCCGGCCACCTCCCCGGCCTGGACAGGCCTGGGGAAGCACAATTTCAGTTCTTATTTATTTATTTTTCATCTTTTTTGAGACAGGGTCTCCTTGTAGCCTCAGCTGGCCTAGAACTCACTATGTAGACCAGGCTGGCCTTGAACTCACAGAGATCCACCTGCCTCTGCCTCCCAAGTGCTGGGATTAAAATCATGTACCATCATGCCCGGTACAATTTCAGTTCTTAGACCAGCAAAGTTTTTGACAAACTTGTCACCATCGCTGGGACCTCGGAATATTCTCTGAGATCCCTTGTTCCACACAGCTATGGGGTTCGTACAATCTGTTCTCCTGAGCTCAAATCCCAAAGTCTTATGTTCATGGTACTAAGATTGTAGAAATGTAATCCAATTATAATGCTTAAAGACGGGGCTTTGTAACAATTAGATTAAGTCATGGGGTGGGGTGTCTGTGTGAATGCTGGTGATTTCATGAGGACAAGGAGTGGCCATAGGACTCATCTGCCTGCCATGCTGCAGTGTGCCACGGTGAGGCAAAAGAAATCACTTCTTGGGGCTGGAGTGATGGCTCAGTGGTTAAGAGCACTGGCTGCTCTTGCAGAGGACCCGGGTTCAATTCCCAGCACCCACATGGCAGTGAACAACCATCCATAACTCCAGTTCCAGGGGATCTGACAATCTCTTCTGACCTCTGAGGGCACTGCATGACATGGGTGCACTTACACACTTGCAGTCAATACACTCATGCACAGAAAATAAAAACAATAAAATATATTTTTAAAAATAAGCCTCTTCTTTATAAAGTAGCCTGCCTCAGACATTTTGTTATAGTAACAAAAAGCCAACCCAGATACACCCTGCACAGTAGGCACACCTCCCAGTGTCCAGAGAACAACAAAAAAGTCAAACATCAGCCTTGTGTTATCATTCACTACCAACAATAGACCAGACAGTGGAAGTTGTAGCCAAAACGGCAGGCCAGCCTCGGCCTGCTCCTGAGAATGAAGCCACAGAGTTAACAGCAGCCAGTCCTGGTCCTAACCGGTGCAAAGCTCGTCTACCCCAGAACAGAGCCTGGAGAAACCAATCCGGATGGCGGGGCACATAGGGCCTCCTCATCCTCGTCCCAAAATTCTACCAGGGAAAGAAGTCGCCCATACCTGTGGTAGAGTTTCTTGTAGAGGTCAATGTTGGCTGCACTGAGGTTCAGTTTCATGAAGCTCGTGGCCCCGCTGTTGTCCGGGATCCCTTGACTAAAGTAAAAACTGTCCCTAAAAAGACAGAAAAATCTTACTGAAAATAGTGTTTCAGGCATTAATACTCACACAGCCTGTCATAAACCTGCTCCTGAATGATGATCACAATAGAAGGGACACCTTAGCGCCTCACAAAACAAAACCCCAAGTTCCTTTTATATATATATATTTTATTTTATGTGTATGCATGTATTTCCTGCATGTAGGTAAGTGCACCCATGTTGTCAATACCCGCGGAGGTCAGAAGAGGCTGTCGGATCCCCTGGGACTGGAGTTGTTAGCCGCCATGTGGGTGCTGGGAACTGAACCCAGTTCCTCTGTAAGAGTAGCCAGTGCTCTAGCCCCCAAATTGAGATATTTTTAAGAGCTCATATTATTTAAATCCTTCAAATAATGAAGAAATTAATAGATTCTGTTTCTATCCAACTACACCTTAAATATAAAGGAAATTCTATATAACACAAGAGTTCCAAAGTAATGGTCCTGACCTGCAAATACACTTACCACCAAAATAAAAGTCCCTTTATCTCTTTGTTCATATTCTAATCCCATCTTCTAGCAAAGTATTTAACATGTTGTAGGCTGTCAGCAAACAGTTATTGGATGAATGAGTCAGTGGGTAAATGGATGAGAGTGCGAACAAAGAGGAATGAGGAAGAACATGGAATTCAAAGCAGAACAGTGCAGAAAGCTAGAAAAAACGGCAAACTCCAGGCAGCACCTCCTCCGGTCCGCACTTAAAATATCTGAAATTATGACTGCTGGGGATGCCAC